CCCAGTAAAGTATGGCTCAACACAAAGTTATGACCACAAGCTCCTTCTGTGACTTTTTGCTAATGCAAAGTCTCTGCATCCATTCTAAAGTGACATGATTTTCTCTGGACTGTGTGGCCACTTAGGATCAATATGGTTTGGCCTTTGGTCCTTTTGGTTTATGACTCACTTTCTCCACCAGAGGACAGGAGAGTTTCACTTGAATCTGATGTCTGATATTGCACAGTCACTTCGAAATCAGCTAGTTTGTTGCAACAAACAAGTTCAAGGACTCTCAAATATGCTAATCCTAGTGTCTGTGAAAGGTTTTCTCTTCAGCTGATGTGCGATTATATTTTCTCTCTAGCTAGAAGATTCAGTGATGTTTTGCTCATTTGAAATAGATTCATCCAATATACAACACTTGAAACAGACTAAAAAAATCCATATCTGCAATATGTATATGCCAATAGTATATCACCAGTGTACGCTCACTGACTTGGAATCTGGAAGAATCTGTCGTAGAAACCTTTGCATCTCCCTGCAAAGTGTGTGCGCGCGAGCACACACACACACACACACACACACACACACACACACACACACACACACACGTATAAATAGAACAGAAAGCTTTTTGAACTCACATATTATGAACTGATTACACACAGTAAAGAAGTCATCCTGTGGCTGTGGTGTCTGCTGGGCTGACAGTTCTCAGTTCTCTACTTGTATGGGCTTCATTTGCATTGTCTTTCAAAGTAACAGTGCCTTATTTAAGACAAGATCCATCCAAGAATGAAAGCTCAATTATCCAAGTTGGTTGGCCAAATAAGAACTAAAATGATGGTTTAAGAATAGAATAGAATAGCGTAGAATAGAATAGAATAGAATAGAATAGCGTAGAATAGAATATAATAGAATAGAATATAATAGAATAGAATAGAATAGAATAGAATAGAATAGAATAGAATAGAATAGAATAGAACAGAATGGAAATTGAATAGAAAAATACTTTATCCCAGACCTGGGAAATTACTGTGATACAGCAGCAACAAAAGAAAAAAACATCAATCACAACAGAAAAGGGCTAAAGCTAAATACTATTTAAAAAATGAAAAATGAAAAATAAAAATAAAGTGAAATTAAAACAAAACAAAATAAATAAAACAACTGTACAAAATGTGCAAATTGAAAAAACAGTGCAAAGACAAAGGGTTTTACAGAGCAGAGAGCTGAGAATGCTCTCTGCCAGACAGAGGTGAAGTGTTGTAAAGGGTTATTGCTCTGGGCAGGAAAGATTTCCTGTAACGGTCCTTGTGATGGTGGAGCTGAATCAGTCTGTTTGAGAAGGAGCTCTGCTGCCTGTCCAGAAGGGGGTGGAGAGGGTGGTCGGGGTTATCCAGAATAGATAACAGCTTGTTCAGAGTCCTCCCCTCCACCACCGCTTCCATGGTGTCCGGTTTGCAGCCGATTACGGAGCCAGCCTTTCTGATCAGTTTGTTCAGTCTGAGCTGACTAATGTTAACAATGCTATGCTGCATTTACAAAACCAGTTCAGAACTTGATGTCTGTGGTTTGATGTGGAGTTTGTGAACACGATGAAGCCATGTGCCAACGCCTTCGACGGGTCCTTGATCTGCAACTTCAGTCAGCCTGCATGAGGGGCTTTCTGTCACTGCGGGTTTCCTGTGAGCCTGACAACACGAGCAACACAATGGGGTCAAGGTACACTTTATCGCTGCTCTGTATTGTGTTCTAAGTATTTGGAGAAACTGTTGCAAAGAAAGGAACTCTGACAAAGATAAAGGAATTTATTATCAACTTTCCAAACACACCATTGCTTTGAAAGTAAAAAAAAAGAAAAAAAAAAAGAAAGAAAAACAAAGCACTTAGTGTTTTCATACATATTCTCCTGCCATATCAAAAATGTTATTTATTGCTCTACTGGTTTACAAAGACAATGGAATGACAGAAATATAATGAAGTCATTTTGCAATTTATTCTTTTAGTGTAAATTGTTGGGTTTTGATTGTAGAATAGATTCAGAACTCAGAACTCTGTATTTTCTTCTTTTTTGGTTACTGAGTCACATACATCTTCATCCTAAGATTTAATTATTCTGAAACACAGGTTGATTCAAGCTTCCTCTGTTTAACCCATTCAGCTTCCACCACTGCCTCCACTCTGGTCTCTTTATATTATCTTAGCTAATCGGTCAAAGTCTCCTATCGTGGACTACATTTTCTAAAGTCTTAAAATGGAGCCAAAAGGAGGTGCAGAAGTCCAGTTTACTCTCAGACCATTTGAATAACAAATAAATACTATCCCAAATTTATTGTAAATGCACAAAAATGAGCATGTCGTCATCCTGGGAAGGGACTCACTGCATTTAAGCATATATACAAAGTTAAATGGAAATTCTCTTTTAATACTTCTGATCTGGTTGTGTTTTCCATGGCCAGGTACAGAATATGATATTTTAAAAAGCAGTAACAGTCTGGTGACTGTTACTGTTTGAGACATTCAGAGTCTTTGGGGTGAACTGAAAAGCCAACTGAGGGCTTTTATGACTTACCCTCATGTGTATAGACGTCCCTCTGGGGAAAAAAAATGAACCTCTGCATGTATGTGCAAAGTTTGTGTGTCATANGCCTCTGACACTGCCTAGTGCAGCCTCTCTCTCCCTCTCTCCTTTCCGTATCTCCTAGGTGGGCGTGCACTGGCTGGTGTGTGTGTGGTGGACAGGTGTGGGCTCTCTGCTGATTACCTGAGTGTTTTCACCTGCGGTGGGGTGTGGTCTTCAATTTACCAGTCTACTCCTGTCACCCATATAAGCTGACTGCAGACCATGACACGATGCCGGACCGTAAAGCTCTCTCTGTTAGTTTGCTCTGGCTCAGTTCTGTTTTTCTGCTCCGTGTTCTGAAGACTTGGCTAACCTGTGTCTAACTCTGCTCCAGCCTGGACCCACCCTGCTGTCTCAAGCTCCTGGTCAACTCCTCCTCTTTCATCCACTCCGGTGTTGCCGCTCCATCTCTTGTGTCTGGCTCACCTCCCCATCACCCTGCCTGTCCACCGTCACCAGCTTTTCCATCACCGGTTTCCACCACCAGCCATGCCGCTCGTCTTCTCCTCCCCTTCTCCTTCCCACACAGTCGGTAAGGCTCAGTCTCACGCTGGTTACAGTTTTGTAAATTTGTATATAGCTTTTTTATCATACTGTTGTATATAGTCTTATTATTTACACTATTGTTATTTTGTGTACATATTTACATAGATGAGCATTTTGGTTTTGTTTTGCACTCCGTTCCTCTTAGCCTGCATATTCTTTAGTTTAGCTCAGTGTAGTTTCCTTGTGTGTGTTTTCTCTTAGCTCTCTGTTTTGCATTTTATGCACTCAGTCCGCGCCGTCCCTAAGTGTCTCCCATTAGTCTGTTTTGCTCATAACCCTTGACCCAGTTTCCACTTCCTGTAAATATATTGTAAATCTTTATTTGCTGAATTCTGTTTGCCGAGTCTTTGTCCGTGCCTGTGTCTCTGAGTCTTTTCCGTGACAACTTCAAGGACTCAAAAGACAGCTCTAAGAGCACTTCTAATATAGTGGACAAGTCCCAGGTGAGAACCAAAGGCTTAGATGCAGGGCACAGCCGCTGACCTCCCCTCATTAAATTTCTTATTAGCGTATGCTGACCGACTGGTGACTTACCAAAACCCATATGGCAGGCCGAAATGGTTGCCAAACACAACTTCACAGTTGAAAATGCCTTACCGTCCATAGCAGATCCTGCAGAGAGCATAACCTTGCTCAGCACCAATGTAATAAGGGTGAGCAGGGGGACAATGCGCACAGCAATACGTTCAGCCATGGGTGAGCCAGTGTGTTCTCTCCTAACGGTGTGCCCCTGTTTCTTGAGGAAAAGAACCGAGGACACTGCCTGTTTACGCGCGATATGAAGACATGTATGGATGCCCAACCGAACCTCTCCCACGCCTGGTTGACTACTTCAGAGTTGCATCTCTACCAGT